ACTGCCGTGCTGCACAGTCATATTGCACACACAAACACCGAACTCTTCCTGCTGTTTTATGCCCACTGATGAGATCATCACAGACAAAGTCTAGAGAGACAGGCAAACAGCCACAGAGCAAAACTGCATAGCTAGCAACATTAACACCTGTGAGCATTTGAGCTCTTTCTATAGCAGATACTTGTTTGAATGTGACAGAAAAAAGGCACAGATGGGACTGACTGGTTTAGCACATTACAAATTTGACCAATAAGGAACAGATACAGATCAGTAATCTGAAACAAAAATGGCCTTATGAAGAGAAGAATTTAGCCCAAATTTAGCTGCCTCTTGCTTCAGTTCACAAATAAGAATTTTATCATGCTTTAAATTCTATTTCATAGGAACAAAACCACCTTTGCACATTAGAAACATCTAATTTACTAGAAGAGAAAAAACTGGGATCCAGTTTAGCATTCAGCTGTTTGAACAGCTGCCGAGCAAGGGGTATTTCTCCACAACCATTAAGAACTACAGCCTGGATACAGTTAGTATGCAGCATAATGCAAGATATTCATGTCTTCTGCCATGCTCACGTGCTTTCTGTGCTTTTACTCAAAGTGTCTGCAATCCTCATAATCTAACTGTAACCTTTGCTTAAAAATCTAAGCCTACATAATGAAGTAGTACACTTAATTTAAGGGTCAAAGAGTGTTGGAGTCTAAGCAAGAGTAATTAATAGGTAAATACAGGTAACAATTCTGTTTCAACTAGACTGACTCAGATATCACAACTATCTTCTTTAAAGATATTTCAGATTATTCTGGCCACTTTCTAAACAAAATTCACCACTCAAGAAAGCAATCCTACAGCTAACTCCCTGGACGATTTCCACATGCCGTACGCTCAGAAGCGGAAAGGAGCCTTCCCACAATTCTGCCGTCTGAGCAAATCCCTGTGAATCTCTTCTCCCTGCCTTGGCTCTCCATGAAGCAGTGTTGAATCGCTTCAGCAGTGTTTTAATTGGCACCACGAGAATATCACAACTATCTTCTTTAAAGATATTTCAGATTATTCTGGCCACTTTCTAAACAAAATTCACTACTCAAGAAAGCAATCCTACAGCTAACTCCCTGGACGATTTCCACATGCCGTACACTCAGAAGCGGAAAGGAGCCTTCCCACAATTCTGCCGTCTGAGCAAATCCCTGTGAATCTCTTCTCCCTGCCTTGGCTCTCCATGAAGCAGTGTTGAATCGCTTCAGCAGTGTTTTAATTGGCACCACGAGAATGTGCTGTCACTGCTCCCCTTCGTTTCCTAATGTATCTTCCCAAAATCACATTGCCTACTTTTCTAATTATTTTAGCTGGCAACCTGGAAATAAGGGCAATTGCTATTACCTTGTAAGGAAGACAGAGGAGCAGATCATCTAGGAGGAGAGGGAATCAGACCAGTAGGTCCTGGTTATACTCAGACAGGCATCACTAGAGGAAATACAAGGATGTCCATGAAGTAGTGCTGGTAACTTTGAAAGCCCTTTTCCTTCAGACCAACATTGAACCAAGTATGTCCATCCAGTATGACAAGAGAGGCACAGTAACTGTGGATACACTATATTCCCGAACGAGATGTTAAACAAACATCTATACCACATGTGGTCATTAAAGACTTGATGTCAAGATGAAAGGTGTTAACCTTGGAAACCTGGCCAGGCTCCAACATGGGTAATTACACTCTGCCTCCCCAAGCAGTCCTCTGTAGAGTTTCAGCTGGACATTTCAGATCTTAAACCGTTACGTGGTGTTGCTGTGAGTGGCTTAAGAAAAGTGTTTTGTTTGATCACAGTGACAACTCACTGATATTCTGCCCAAAATACTCTATTATGGAGTTGCTAAACCTTAGAGCAGTGACAAATCACGTCAGGGGAAAACTATTCCCTTTACTATGCATTGCAGCAGCCCTTTTACACGTGAGTAACCCTAGGAATGTAGGGCAACCTCGTGT